GCCAGTCTTTCCTGGAATCTACCCTTTTCCAGAAAGCCTGGAGATTTCCCAAGGCAACAGTCTCCAAGGGATTATCTAGTCCATTCTTCTGTGCCTATATTTTCATTTAGTTCATTTTTCCATTCATTTAAAAATATTTTTCTTTTTGCGTTTCTTAAATTTTTCTGATTATAAATGCAACACATTTTATTATAGAAAATAAGACACACACAAAATTAAAAATCACCCATAACCTGACGCCTTTTTTAAGGCTGTAAAAGGAAGAGACAGTATCTCCTCTCCTCCCAGGACCTTGCCCGCATCCCCCGGACGTCTTTCTATGCTTAAGCACCTACACACATTTCTCATGCACACATGTAAACACACGAGTGTTTTATCTCCTCCCTAAATAGATGCATATTCCACACACATTCATCAGCTTACTGTTTCCTTAGTATGACCTAGTCATGTTTTCAAGTTGGTGTGTATAGATCTGCCTCAGCTTCTAAACATTCAGAATCTAATTTCCCGAAGTCTGGTTTTAGCACAACCTAGGCCACCAGTTTAGGGAGCAGCCTGCACGCAGTGGGTGCAAACTCGAGGCATTCTTACTTTCTGCTGCTGTAGCATCTTCGTGGGTCTGTGTGAACTCCCCCCTCCACGTCGCTTAATGCCATCGTGGGCAAGTTTCACAGTGTTAAAAGTTCACCCCATTCAATCTCATCCTTCCTGCCCTTAAGGCTTGATCCGTGGCTGAGGGAACTGGAGGGGGAGGGTCACCGATGCTTGGTCTTTGTCCCCCCTCTCTGGCGATGTGTTAGGATGGGAGGGCCGGGGAAGGGTGTTCTTCTTTTCAGGTGCCTCTGTGATCAGCTTGTGACATTGTTGCTGCTTCTCTGGTCAGTTCTGACCCAGGTCCACTCTGGGAAAAGGGACACATGCTCCTGGGGACATCTCCGCTGCACAGTGTCCTGGTGGGGGAGGTGCAAGGGGCTCAGCTGCTCCCATCCCACCTCTGCTCCTGCCCTCCTTATGGAACACCCCAACCAATGACTGACACCCCGAGGGCCCCAGGGCCCAGCCATTTCTGCCCAATGTGGGGCGTTTGTAACAGGCAATTTTTGCTCCAGAGTTCTCTGTGGGCTTGCAGATGCTTTGCCAGGTCTAGAAGGTCTGATGGTTCCTCCTGCCCAGCTTTGCCTTGTCCCGTTTCCTTTCATCCCCAGCATGTCCTTCGCATGTCTACCTCCATCTCAGGGGCAGCTTCCTGGAGGTCTCCCCCTGTGACAATTCCTTCATCATCACCTGCTACATGCACGGCTCTGGGCCGGGTTCTCGGAGGCAGACAGGTGAGGGACACGTGGTCCTACCCACCAGGTCTCCTGGGCCTTCAATGAGTGAGAACTTGCATCATTATTTTAGCTCCCAGAAAAATACAAACATATTTCATGGTCACCTCTGTCTCAATCTCCTCCCTCCACTGCATTGGTTTATAGATTTTCCTGCCTTGCCAAGAAACATGAACCATCTCGCATCTACGCGTGGTGAGAGGCCTTCCTTTCAAGGGCAGGCCCTGAACCACAGGGCCAGGGTACAAACCCTGACTCGGCCACCTCCCAGCTGGTTGACCTGGGACAAGTCATGGAACCTCCCTGCGCCTTAGTTTCCTCACTTAGAAAAGGGTAAGATAGGGATAGTGTCTGCCTCAGAGGGCCGTGGAGATTAAATGAGCTGATCCCGCCAAATCCATTGGGCAGCACCTGCCAGAAATAAGTTCTCAGTAATTCTCAGTTATTTTTGTGGGGAACTCAGTCTCCTAACTCAGTTCTTCCCTCTGATTAGAAAGCAAATAGAGGACACCCAGTTAAGTTTGAATATTAGAAAACAATGAATAATTTTTTTTAGTGTAAGTGTATCTTTCATGCCCCCCTTTGGTCATCTTGCATCACTCCCTTCTGGCTGTCCCAGGAGCACCACCTGCGTCTCACTCCTTAGCCACAGCACTTCTGTTCTCATTTAAACTGTCCCCAGACTCACTGTAGTGCCTCAAAGACCAAAGATCCTTCTGTTTAACAGAATTCACCCTTCTCAGTGCAACTGAGATTTCCAACAGCACCCTCCCCACCTACTCCAATGCACTTACATGAATTTAGGGTCTGGTTTTAAATAAGAAATATTTTATTGCAATTATTTTCAGTTAAAAACATCTGAACATTTTGGGATAAATAGCTTGGACTTCTTTCTAATACATGCAGGTCCACCTCATTCATTTTTAACACAGGTTTCTACTTTGGAATGTACAAAAACATTGTTATTAATTTCACTGCTGGTGGATATTTACGTTGTTTATAATTTTCTTCCACCACAATCGTTGCTGCAATGAACAGAGATTCCTGAACAAAAGAAACAAGAATATTTGTTCTGAAATGTGTTAAAACATTATAAAGCTAGAGAGAGCAATCAAAACGCCAGCACCGTTAGAGAGAAATGTAATACAGTTGAAGGCCTAGAAACTGACCAAGTACATACAGGGCCTCCCTATATCATAAAAGGGGCATTTCAGATCCACGGAAAAAGAACAGCTGATTCAGCAAATAATGCAAAAAACACCAGGCCACTCACTGGGGGACAGCGGAAAGCTAGCTTTCCATCTCACATGTGTATGTCCCCAAATCATTAAAATTTTACATGAAAAGCTTGAAACACAAAAAGAACTAGAAATAAATAAATTAATCAGGACAAATGCGTTTCTGAAGCGGGGACGGCTTTTGTGAACCTGGTATCCACACTGCAGCCACCCTGGCATTCGCCAGGAGATCTGTTAGACNCTTCTGAAGCGGGGACGGCCTTTGTGAACCTGGTATCCACACTGCAGCCACCCTGGCATTCGCCGGGAGATCTGTTAGACAAGCCCCATCCACACAATCACAAGACAGACCACGGACGAGGGGAGTGTGGAATTGGCACCATGTGTGAAAGATAAGCAGTTTTAAAAACTCCGCCAAAAAAGATGAGCACCCGACAGAAAGTCCTTAATACGCTTAGCCCAGTAAAAAATACTGAGGCCCATGAAATATAATACGTGCAAACTTGGAAGTTATCAAATAATACACATTCAAACTATTTAATGCTATTAGTTTTGCAGATCAGGAAAGCAAAGATTTAAAAGAACCATCATCCCCTCTTGGCCCAGACATAGGCCAAAAGCCTCTCATACTTGGCTGGTGGCAGTTGGAGTTGTAGGTCTTTCTGGAAAAAGCACAGCCAGACTGTTTGGACTACAAACCCTAGAGTGTATGTGCCCTTTTATCACTTTCCTTTGTTGAGCAGTTCTTTCCAACTTTTCTGCAGTAGACGTGGGTTCTGGACTCCCCACCAGAAAATTCCTCCTGAATTTTCCAGGCCCCAGCAGCCTGAGCGCAGGGAGGAGATCAGCCAGGAGCCAGCGTCGCACACGGCTCAGGGCAGCGCCCGTCCGGGGTGCAGGTCCTGGGCCCGGGCATTCCCCAGTCACCTCGGTGACACTAGCAGGGCTTCCTGTGAGCTCAGAACACTGCTTCCCTTGCACACCCCTTTACCATGCCCATTTCTTGGAGTGACCGTCGAGACTGGTGCTTTGTCACCTCATCTGGGGCCATGGGCCCCGTCAGGGCGCCTGCCCTGCTGCCACCTGCCCCCGGGGTTGGAATCTTGAGTTTGTGGCTGCAGGAAACAGCTCCAGACACAGGTCCCCAACCCAACCAGGCCCGTCAGCATCAGAACAGGCTCTGATGGAGACGTGACATCTCCAGACACGCGGAGCTTGGACCTCAAACTCACTAGAATAAAAAAACGGGGAAAAGAGAGAGGAAGAGCTAAAGGGGGAAACCTGGTAATGGGGGAAGTGAGGGGAATGAATGAGCGCGGGGCGCAGTCCCTCAGAGCCTAAGGACGGACAGGAGAGAAGAGTGTGTGTGTGTGTGTGCGTGTGTGTGTGTGTGTGTGCGTTTGTCTGTGAGGTGGGGCCGCAGGAGAGATAAAGAGGGAAGCTTGACCTTGCTGAAGGTCAAGGGGGAGATGGATGGCTCGCTCAGTTGCCCGGTCTCCTCTCCTCAGCTTTGTAGAAATGAGTGTGGAGAAAACCAGAGGCTGCTGGGAGAAAGGCAGGGGGCGGGGGAGGGGCAGACCCTATTCTCCCACGTGTCTCCCCAGGGTCCGCAGGTCTCAGCACACTTCCCCAGGCCTGCTGACATCCCAGGGCGGCAGTGACAGGTAGTCCTGCTGCTTCAGGGCTTTGAAGAGCTGAATGGCCGGCACCTGGGGAAGGCCCTGGCTGGGAGGCTTCTTGGCCTGGAGGCCCTGGTCCAGGTCCCTGAGCTCAGGAAAGGGTCCGGGAGAAGAGGACTTTCTCTGGGGTGAGAGGGAGCCAGACCCCACGCCAGGAAGAAAGCAATAGTCACCCACCTGCTGCAGGACCAGGAGCCCCCCGGGGCATGGAGAGACCGGGCTCACCTCTCCCCGGGGCTCCCTTGGGCTCAGGACCTGGCTGCTGCCCACCAGAGGGGACTTAGGGGACATGGTGGGAGGGAGCTCCACATAGCTGTCAAACTCTGACCTCACCGGGGCTGGGGCTCCAGGGGGCCCAGGAGCCTGACCGGGACAGAGGCCCTGGTTCTGGCCTGCAGGGAGGCTCAGAGGAAGAACCCGAGGGGCGGACAGGGCCCCTGTGGGTAAGGTGCGCGCCAGGTCTGCAGTGCTGACGAAACCAGAAGCCGGGGTGCTGTCCTCAGAGCCCCCAGACGCAGCGGACGGAGCTGCAGGGCTATCCTTCGTGCCCTGACCCCCCACCATCTGCCCAGGTGCAGGAGGGACGGGGCCTGCCCCTGACTCCAGAGAGGGGCTCTCCTTGGCCCCCGGGGAAGGTCTCCTCTCCACACCCCTGGCCTGGCGCTGTCCTGCCACCTGGGCCAATGGGACCAGCTGCATCTGCTCCCCTTCAGGCAGGCACAGGTACTCCAGGGACCCTGGGGGCAGGGGCTTCTGGCTCACACCCATCCCTGGGAGCTCCTCCTGCCCTACAAGGTCAGGCAGGGAGAGGCTGTGGGGTGGCCCCAGGTAGGGGCCATTGAAGTCGAAGCCGGAAGCCTGGCCCTCAAGCCTGCTGGACGGGGCTGTCAGGCAGGGCAAGGGACTCGGGGGCGGGTCCGTGGGCAGGTCCGAGGCAGCCGGAGTCGTGTTAGGCTCAGATGGTGAGTCATGGGCATTTTTAGGGTCCTCTATGGTGAGAGGTGACACTTCGCTGTGCATGCAATTTACAGGGGACACCCTGTGAGAGAACAGGTGCAGAGATATTGGGACCACCTTGGGCACACATCTCAGCTCATGCAGGGGGGCTTGGGGGAGGGGACTCTAGGAGGCCTGGGGGAAGCGGGGTCCATGGAGAGCACAGAGCAGGCCAGGCTCGGTGGGTGGGGGAACCCAGGGCAGGAAATCGGACGTTCCTCCGGCTCCCCGTGCATCTGGCCCTCAGCCTCCGTGCTCTCGGTCAAGGTCCTCCTCTCCCAGGTGTGACCCTCTCACCCTTTGCTCCTTGACATGCCCCGCCCTTGCGAGCTCAGCCATCTCCTTGTCCCCTCCCCCAGCGTGCAGTGCCCTCTCCTGGGGGTTAGTGAGCTGGTGGCTCAGGTGCTGACCACGAGGGCCTGTAGCTCCTTGGCCATCCCATGAGGCTGAGGCAGTGTGGGCTGCCCCTGAGCAGCAGGGCACAGAGAGGCTACCTGTCGAACCTGAGCTCTGGCCCTTGCTAACCTGGAATCAGGATGTTCTTCCAGCCATCCAACTGGGTTGCCCCTGGCTTTAGTGCAAGCCATCTCCTTGGGCCTCTCCACACTGAGCACAGGCCAGACGCCATCTCCTCAGAGCCTCCCATGCGCACCTTCCACCCCCGAGGGATCCCAGGTCCAGACACTCACCCCTCCAGCCCAGGGAAGAAGCTGTCCCACGGCCCTTTGTGTGAAGAGCTCCTGCTGGTGATGGCAGACACGCTGCTGGGGAGCCAGAGCCCTGCACTCCCATTCTGGAAGGGAAGGAGTTTGTGCCTATGTGAGTGGGACCTTGAGATGGTGTTGGCGGGGGAGGGCTGTGGGGGTGACAGGGGATTCAGTGAGCCCCCAGAAATGGGAGGATCTCAGCAGCATCAGGACCAGACACAGCCTTCTGACACCAGGAGGGGAGGCCAGAGATGGGCTGGGACTTCCCTGGGATCCTCCACCCCAGCATTGGAAGACACGGACCCTGTTCTGGTGAGTCTGCTCATTGGGGTGTTGCTGCCTCCATGTTCACCCCCTAGTCTCCCCACATTGGCTCTGAGACCCTCCCCACACAGAGCTGGCCCTGCCTGGCTGCAGGGCTCTTTCGCTCTGTGGTGACCTCAGCCCCTGAGATGCTCCCCCAGCCTCACGACCCAGCCACCTCAGTCCTTCGTGAATGATCCTGTCTCATCCCCACATGCCTGCTGCCTACAGTGACCTTTCCCACCTGGTGCCACCCAGGTCCCGCAAAGCTCAGCTCTGCTGTCCTGTCCTGGGAGAGCCATCCTGCATCCCACTACCCCTCACCCCAGCCTCAGTAGAACCAGCCCCTTCCTGAGCCCACTTTTTCACTCCTGGTATCCCCACACTCAACTCGTTCCTGCTCCATGTGGGCCCCTGAAGGCAGGGCACCCCATGCATCTGCGGGGCCCAGGGGTCTTCAGGGATGAGCCTGCAGGCGCTGGCCCTGGCAGCCTATGCCCGCTCTCCAAGGCCCCAGGAAGAAGTGAGGACATGGGCACTGGCACAGAGGAGCCTTTACCACCCCAGCCGCCCTCACGAACAGATCCTACCTGGAACAGCTGGCTCTTACTGGGGTTGGGGATTTTCTCCTTCCACTTCTGGTTCAGCCTGTAAAGATAGCAGGAGGTGACAGCCACCAGAGACCTTAGGGCAGCTGCCATGCTCGTGTACAGAGGGGAACCTGAGGCCCAGGGAGAGGGCAAGATCTGTCCAAGAGCCCCCAGGGAGTGGTGGCAGAGCAAGGGAATGGAGGGATCAGCTGTGGGATCCCTGTGGCCCCCTGGGGTCCTGGGTACCCCACCCCCAGCCATCATGGAGTCCCCTTACCTGTACCCATAGGTGCCACAGAAGCGCAGGGCCAGGAGTAAGGCGAGGGTGATGAAGACTAGGACAATGGCCAGGCCCCACGTGGGCAGCACTTTGGGCAGCCAGGAAAGAAAAAGGAGCATTAGCATCTGGGGAGGGAAAAGCTGGAAGCTCAGGCAAAAGTGAGGGGCAGATTGAAGTAGCAAGTGAAGGGCCATGGGGAAGACAAGAAATCAGACCAAACCCTTCCCATCTCAGAGCCCTGTCGGCCCTGATGCTTGCTGATGGTAATTGGAATTTTGGGCTGAGTGGTCGCCGGTTAGTGGTTGACACAAAGGCTAATGAAGCCACGGGTCTTATTAATAGAGGGCTAAAACCCAGTCTGAGGGAGGCACGGTGACTACACCCACTCTTTTCTGCTCTCTCGAGATCTCACCTGCAGTCTCTGTTGTACAGCGTCACTTTTTTAAAAATTTTTTTAAAAAATATTGATTCCAGAGACAGAAAGGGAGAGAGAGAGAAACATCAATGATGAGAGAGTCATTGATCAGCTGCCTCCTGCACGCCCCCTGCTGGGGAGCGAGCCCGCAGTCCAGGCACGTGCCCTGACCGGGAATCGAACTGTGACCTCCAGGTTCATGGGTCAACTTTCAACCACTGAGCCATACCAACTGGGCAACAGGTGTCACTTTTGATGACTAGTGACACATGGGAGGGAAGGATGCTCGGTGGGGTGCGGTCACTTCTCTGTGTCTGCATCACACTGTCCAGCGTCCCAGGGGCCACAGCAGGAGGGGCGGGTATGGGCGGGAAAGACATACCCCACTCCGTGTCCCAGGAGCTCTCCTCACTCCACTCGCTCCAGATCCCGCTGTAGCTGTTGTAGGGCTTGACCCTCACTCTCGCCTGGTACCTGGTGGAGGACTCCAGAGGGGGCAGCGACATGATGTAGGTGTTCTGGAGGGGCTCTGTCTTGCTCTCCTGTGGGTACAGGTGTGTCAGCAGGTATGCTGGGGCTGAGGTAACTTTTGGAGACCACATGGGCACAGCTGCAAACCCCTCCCAGCCCAGGTCTCTGCTACTTGTGAGCGCCCCCACCTCCCAGCCCCTGCTGTGGTTGCATCCTCGGGTCTGAGGCAGGAAAACTCCTACCACGGAGGACCCTCCTTTAGGCCCACACAGGGAGAGTACTCTGATGGGACCGGGGACCACACCTCTCGCAATGCACCGCTGTGATGTAAGACAACACCGTGGCCCAGAAAACCCAAGGGGTCACCCAGTCCCACTCTCATCATGAGATCCCTCAACATCCCTCCCAGCTCCTCGGGGGCAGCCTGAACCCTGATTAGGGCCTCTCAGGGGTGCAGTGCAGGGTGACTGGACTCTGGACTCTGAGATGGGGCTCTGGTGCCCGGAGCCTAATCCCAGATCCACCACTGATCCACCCCCTCCTGGCTTCAGTTTCTCCATTTCCAACCTGAAGGTCTGGGGCTGGCTCTGAGGTTTCTGTTCTGCCCTCTGGGTCCCCAGGTTCTGCACATGGATGGAGGGCTACCTGGGGGTAGGGACCTGTACCAAGCCCTGGGCTGGGGCCCTGCTGGCTTCATCAGGAGCAGATCTGCTCTGGGTGGCTGCACCTTTGTGTCCAGATGAGATTCCTCTGAAGAAATGTCCCCTTTATGACTTTTGAAAACCCTCATGCAGCATCTCTGAGCCCTCTGCACCCTAACATCTATGCCGCCTTTGATATTCAGGGTCACACGTGTTAATTTTGGCCAAGTCCCATCATCTCTCTGAGTCTCAGTTCCTGCACCAAGGGATGGAACTNACATCATCTCTTTGAGCCTCAGTTCCTGCACCAAGGGATGGAACTATGACCTGCCAGCCAGCCAGCATTGTGATCACCAAGTCCTAGTGGCTTCTGCTGACTGGTCACCTGCCGGAGCCAGGCCTCTGGCAGGTGGCGCCCTCCCTGGTGTTGTCTCACATGCCTCCCCAGCAGCCCCCCAGGGCACAGGCCCTCACCTCCCACGAGTCTGTGTCTTTCTTGTACTGGACCTCGAAGGTGTACTCTATGTATGTGGAGAGCATCGCCTCTACTTCCCAGCGCAGGATGTAGCCGCCTCTGCCCTTGGTCAAGTTGAGTGTCGGGGGCGCCATCTGGACTGGAGGGAGGAGACTTTCAGGGAATACTGTTCCTAACATCCTCCCACGGGACATTCCTTTCGTTCCATGCTGGTCACAGGTGCCGTCTGCACCGGCCCCAGGACCCCAGGTCCCACCCATCTCAGGGTCTCTGCACCCCTTCACTGCATCATCCGATTTGACCCAAGCAGCCCTGATCTTGTTTGAGCTTCACTTGTTTTGTAGTGAGGTGACCCCAAGCATGGGTTACTCATAGCATTTAAGTAAAAATAAAGTCACTATAATTGGTTCTATTCTAGAGCTGTGACTGTTCCAGGTACTGTCAGACATGCTCGCTCTACATGAATTATTTCACTCAATTCTAACAACACCTCTATGGGGTAGGTACCGTTAACTTGTTACACTTTGCAGACAGAGAAACTGAGCCCCAGAACAATGAGTCACTTATCAAGGTCGGGCAGCTAGCAAGGGCTAGAGACCAAGGTTGAAACCCGGCCAGTCCCCAGAGAGTAAGTGGTGGATTCTAACCCAGGTGGCTAAGACAAACTGGCCATTGCCTGCGACACACACTGAGGATGGGAAGGCAGAGAGGAAGAACCTGGTCACCCTGAAATAATGTGGCAGTTCCTTTGCATGGGACCTTGCTACATGCCAGGAATCAGGGAAATTATCCAGGGGTATTAACCAGGGACATTAACTAGGGATGTTAACCAGGGGTATTAACAGGGATATTAGCTGGGGATGTTAACCAGGGATGTTAATCTGCAAGGAGCTTCAGTTTATTTGCCNGGGATATTAGCTGGGGATGTTAACCAGGGATGTTAACCAGGGATGTTAATCTGCAAGGAGCTTCAGTTTATTTGCCTGAACACTGATAGGAACAAAATATAGGTCAATTATTTTGAAGACTGAAAAGATCCATCAGGGGACGACTTTGGGAACCTGAAGGCAAAACACCCACTCAGGGAACGGACAGAAAGCTGGCGGGAGCACCGGGAGGCATGGCCGAGAGCACATGGGGCAGCTGCAGGTTGGGGAGGAAGGCGGAGCCCGCACAGTGGAGGGAAGGGCGTTAAAGGCGTGTCCTTGGGGATATCAGTGGAACCTCCTATGTGTTATTTGCCGTCGCTGTTGTGTTACTGCTTCTTGAGAACCCAAGAGGAGATTCTAGAATCCAAGAGGAGATTCTNACCTCCTACGTGTTATTTGCAGTCGCTGTTGTGTTACTGCTTCTTGAGAACCCAAGAGGAGATTCTAGAATCCAAGAGGAGATTCTAATGATATTTGTTCACTTTGCTCACTGGACTGCGTTTGTTGAAAGTCACAAATGTGAAGACAGGGCCATAAGGAACCCTGAGCTTACGTGGTTTACACAATAAGACACAGCCCACCCCC